TCCTGCGTATAGTATTTGCCCTTGTTAAGTGGAGTATAGCAGGTACTTTATAACACACAAAACTAAGTCCTAATCTGAACTTAACCATCTATTCATTCCGGATTACTAAAGTTGCTTATCCCGCGCGAGTGGACGACAGAGAAGTGTGTCTGACTCCATGCTCAAAGAGGAATGCAAATACTACTGTCCTATGTTTCATACAGAGAAGATAATAGAGATGAATAATCTATAATGTGAAGATTATATTATAAGAATTAGCCTTGTGAAACTAAAAAAATTCGTAATCGTATATTTCGGGTTTTCTGTGGAGGTGATGTCAACTGGCCACCTAGATCATGCGATTCGACTCCGTTAGACCCTTCTTTGTGGGATTTTGTTGAGTCTCAAATCAAAATAACCCACGTCATTGATCAAAATCGCGAGATATTTGTAATGAAACCTTTAGTTTTAGCATTAGCTCTAATTTAACTTTTTTTATTATTAATTGAAAGAATAAAGGATACTTGTTTAAACATTAATTAAACTAATCAATATGCTTATAAAAATATTTACAATAATTTGAATAAGGAATTAAAAAAACAAAATAGACATTTTAAAGTAAACTAATCAAAAACATTAATCCCATCAATTTGTTTGATTGAAGCGAACTTTTTTGTGGTAATTAACAAGATACAAATATTTAGAAAATAAGATAAAGTTTTTAGAAGATAAACAAAAAGTAAAATTATGTAGGGTGATTCATTTCCAATTATTCATTACATAATATAGCCGAAAAAGAAAAAAATGGCAGATCAAATATAGGGCAAAATACTAAAATTAATTTATGTGGATAATCTTAATACATTAACATGAACAAAATGTATATACATCATCGGTATTTACGCCAAGTTCATTGAAAATGATATTCATTCCATCGCTTCTATACATACTTAAGAAAATACAGTTAACAAATGCGCAATTTAAATTAATTACTTTAATAAGCACTTTATTAAAACTCTTACTCAGAATCCTAGAATAGTACATCAAATTATGTAAAGAAAATCTAATCAAACATTTGTGATAATTAAAGGATTATAAGCATTTTGGGGTTTTGCTTATAGTTCAGGATTTTTATTAAAAATTCTGATTTTACCATCTTCTTCCTTCTTGTATGTAGGCTCTAAAGCCTGTTTCTTCTTCAATATTAGCCTCCTAAATTGTTTAAATTGTCGCACCATCTTTTTCTTGGTCTGTCAATACTTCTTCGTCCATTTGGTGACTTATTCTGTGCTATTCGTACTATGCTACAGTCACAGTGACCCAGATCTTTATGCCATCTGCATATTACCAAAGTCCGTTGAGTATTTTCATCTCTGTTGTTTCTAGTAATGGTCTCGTTTTAGATATGTTAGGTCTTGTCTCCACCGTGTATGTTATATAGGTCTAATTGCTGCTTTATAAATTCTTGTTTTTGTGTCTTATCTTAGGTGTTTGTTCTTCCAGGTTGTGTCATTAAGAGATCCTGCCGCTTTACTTGCTTTTAAGCTTTGTTGTCGTACTTCTTCTTCAACATCTCCGTAACTAGTTATATCTATTCCCAGTTATCTAAGCCTGACTGCTTTGATGATATACACTGTGTTAGTTTTCCATTTACCTTTGCCTGTATTCGATTATGGAAGTAGATGTTTTCAATGGTTTGTATAACATTGATTGTTATGTTTCTTTTATACGGTAGGTGTAAGACGTCTTCGACTTGGATGCGATCGAAAGCCTTTGTCAGGTCTATAAAACATAGATATGCTGGTTTATTGTACTCGATGTCCTTTTCTGTGATTTATCTTATAAATATCTTCTTTATCTTACTATTTTACACACACCTGACGTTGTCGCACTTCGAACGCCATTGATTTTGTTTTGCCAGCCTACTTTTATGATTCTGTGTCGCTTCTATTCATGGCTATAGTAATTCCTTTTTGAATAGAATAAGGCTCACTACATTTGAGCATTATCAAACAGAGCCCTACGACTTCGTAGAAGTGTCACTTAAGACCATAATAAACTTTGTTAAAAAGGATGGACTGAAGGGACAACTTGAACCTAGATATGAGCCACAATAGACATCTTAGGTCGAGTGGAAAGGTGGTTAAGAGCCAACTCAAATTGAACCTAACCTAAAACCTTTTTCCCAAAACTTCTTCGGTTTTCCTTATTCCTTCTGGAATCCTATCATTGGGGTCTATCTTCAAGCTCCTAATTGGTAACCTCTCAGTGTACATTCGTCTCATAGGGCGGTACCAAGAAAGTTGTGTGAGTCTGCATCATCTTCGCCAAAAATTATTTTCCACTGCATAATTCGGTTTTACCTGCTGTTACTTATTGTCCAAACTTCTGAGACGTATGTACTTTCCACCAGTGTTAGTAAACAATAGTTTTTTGTTTATCACGTATGCTGATTATTTCATCGCTTTTTTTTTCATTTGCTCTAGAAGTTCTACATAGTTATTCTATCAGACCAGAATCTTTTTAGCATGCGGCGGTAATACGACCTTTCAAAGGCCTCAATATTATGACTTCAGGTTTTCTTGAGTGTCCAAGCCATCATCATCATCATTATCATTCTGGCTTTATAAATCTGTAAGACTCCTCCAGAATTTCTCTCCAGTTTTTTACCATTTCTCTGCAATTTATATCCATTGCCTTTCTCTGTCAAGCGGGTATTCCCATATTTCTCATGTCTTCATCGATGTTATCAAGTAAGCTTGTTCAGAGGTCTTCCTCTTCTTCTCTGACCAATGGGTCTATCAAGGAGCGTTTTTCGAGCTAGGTCATTTTGTTCCATCCGCATTCCATTGTCATTTACTGCTCCATAGACTCACCTTGGTACTTTTCTTTCGAAACATCTTAACATGTTTTCATTACTTTTTGTTAGAGTACAGGTCTCTGAACCATATGTTAGGACTGGGCGTATTATTGTTTTGTAGACTTTTATTTTTGTATTTCTCGATATAATTGTGGATTTAAGGAGGAGATTGAGCCCAAAATAGCATCTGTTGGCCGTGCAAATTCTGCGATTTATCTCTGTGGTAGTATTATTTTCGAGAGTTAAGGAGCGCTCCCAGGTATACAAATTCGTTCACTGCTTCGACAACGTCGTTTTCTATAACAAGTGGTCGTAGGATTTGTGGTTGCGTGCTTATTTTCATATACTCCGTTTTGTGGGTGTTTACCGAACTCAGTGTCCTCAAAAAGTTAATGTCTGGACTAGCATTTTAGGAGACGACATAATAGGTCCATTTTTTATTGAGGGCAACTTGAATAGTAGAGTATACCTCGATTTGTTATAGAATCATGTTCTTCCCGCAATTGTCAATCTTCCTGATGTAAATTTGGAGAATGTTTGGATCCAACAAGACGGCTGTTCAGTTCACAACGCTCGAATAATTAGGGAGTACTTAAACAATACTATCCCGAATCGCGTTTTCAGTGGAACAGGCGATATTAAGTGGCCTGTGCGACCTCCAGATCTTACACCCATGGACTTCTTTTTGTGGGGACATTTAAAAAACATCATCTAAGATCATCCTGAGGCTAGAGCCCAAAATTTGGATGAATTAGAAAAACCGAATAAGAGAAGTGTACAATTTTGTTACAGCAGAAACTCTTACATCTGCAGAAGTCCGTCCGCAGAAGTTTTTATGACATATTGGGAAACTGTTCAGCTATTTGAATCATTTCTGTAGGGCATAAATAATTATTTCTTATTTTATTACGAATTATTTTTTATTTTCAATAAGAGTATTTTTTTGTTTTATCTTTTTATAGAAATGCGCTTTTTTTTAATTCAACCACAAAAAATTGTCCACATTATTAGAAGCCGATAAAAAAGCACCGCCTTATAATGGTCAGTGTATTTTTATCGAGTTTATGTTATAAGAAATGAACCGGGTATACGTAAGCAAAACAAAAATCGACCGACGGGGATGCATATCCCTTGCTTTATTATGTGTTACTAAATGGTTTTCGTTTTCTCGTTTTCTGTCAAGGAGTCTAAGGGTAAGGTGTCGGAGGGGATTGGAGAATTACAATTATCTCGTACGAGGCAATGTTGCCGATTTTAGAGCCTTATGTAGTTTGCAATATCTAATCTAAAACTTAACGTAGTGTATATATTTAAGAATTTGGTTGCACCCTTTTTAGCAAATTGTTTCTGTGTTTTGTTTATTTAATATTTACGGTTTAGTTTTAGTAACTATTATCATCTAATATCTCAAACACTGTCCATCATTTGTTGTGTTACAATTCCACGTTTCGTATCCATAAAAGAGAGAAAATAAAAAGTATCAGTCGGCTATCAGAAAAATCCCGCCATTACTATATTAATTCGTCTTTAATTTCTGTTGAATACAAAATAAAAGAAACTGTAATTGTAGCACAACGTCTCGACGAAATCCATATATGATAAAACTTTCCACTCGTTGCATAATTAATTTATAAAAATTTTCGTTAGCAAGTCAAATAATATACACTGTAGAATTTGTCCAACAATCCCGTTTACTTTTACGTAACTTGATCGCAAGAGTCCTATTGCGTATAGGCAAAGCTACTGCATTACATCGGTGACTTACCCTGTACAATGGACAAACTTCATACACAATTCGAAATAAACTTGGAATGTGCGTCTCTTATAAAAAGGATTTTACCAAAGCATAAAAATGTTAAAATATGGTGGCTATACTGTACTATAAGGTTGTCCTTGCAATCATCACCTAAGTGTTAATTTAGTCCTTTTCAGACGATGGAGCAGGTGCACGTTTTCTAAGCACGTATTTTTTATTATTCATTGTGTTATTGTTGTCTTTATTTTTTCTTTATTTTAACAAATTGGATGCGTATTTCTTATTCGTCAAAACCAAGCGCTGTGTAGATAGTACCGGTTTAAGTGGAATATTATCTACCGCATCTGCATAAGAAGCGTCTACTTTAAATAGTTTTTGAACATTTGTGTATCGAAGTATTCTAAAATGAAGCAGATAGTTTGCTCCACGATAGTCATTTTAATGACAATTTTGAATGTATCGATTATTGCGCAAGAACAAAAGGTAAGTCAACTCAAATGTTTTTAATAATTTATATAATAATAATTATGCTACTTATAAGATTTGTATCATCTTTTAGAGTTGTTGAAACTTCGCCGACAATTGGTGGCGTTTTTGATAAATTTATTGATGACTTGTCCTGTATAGTTGGTTCTTTGTCTTAGTATTTTTTCAGTCATTTATTCAAGTATAATGCCAGCTAGCAATTTCTGCCAGTTGAAACTGTTTCGACATGGCTTTTGTCTTCTTTTATTAGTTTAATAAATAGTATCATTAAAAAAAACATGGTAATTTACTTGGTTTTTTTTTGCTTTCCTACTTAATTCTTTTTTCGGTCTTGTTTCGGAAGGTTTCCATCCTGTTACTAGTTTTTTTTTGTCTCTAATAACCATGGATGGACATTGCGTACAACAAGCACTGACAAGAACATGATTACCAACTTCTTTTGGCCTGAATTGGATCATATTCTAAAATTATAATCTTTACTACTTTATTTACTGGGAATAAATAACGAGGAATTATATTATAATGCCGTAATTATTTACTTTTTAGGTCAACGTCACCCTCTACTACGAAACGTTATGTCCTTATGCAAGAAAATTTGTGGTAAGCCAATTGCATCCAACGTTAGAAGAACATTTATCAAAATATGTCAATTTGGAAATAATTCCATACGGAAAAGCTAAGGTAAGTACTAGACTCATGAGTTACTAGAAGATTTTTCTGTACCAATTTAGTTTCTCGTTTAACTTTTGTTTTACAAATACATATTCTACTTGATTTACATTATCTTCTATTTCTTTCTATCTCTTTGCTTCGTTCCACGTTAAGTTACTTTATTCTAGTTTCTTTTCTATTTTTTTTATCAATGTGATATTAGGCTTCCTATCCTTCTTTTTTTCTGGGGTCTTATATTGAAAAGCCTGCCTAGTAATAGTTTATATTGCCTTATTTAATGTGTGCCTTAATGTATAATGCAGAATTGAAAAGAAAAGTACTTTAAAAGTGTGTTTAAGCAGCCGGGGCCTTTCGGTTTACAAAGGTATCTTCAGAGCTATGGTCAAATTAAAAAAAAATACCACCTATAAAAAGGGGATCTCATTGTTCAAATAGGGAACAAATTTTTTCATCAAAATTTAAGAGCGTAGGCGCAAAATTTCGGGACAATACTTTTTAAATGCATTCATTTTTTCGAATCCTGAGAAAACTAATAATATTTTTGAAAAATTTAAACGCAGAATGAAAGATTACATTATTACCTAGGGCCGAAAGTCCCTTGGAATAAACAAAAAGTTTTTTTGAATGAGACATTTGAAAGTTCTTCTTACATGTCCATACCACTTTAGTATTTTTTGTTCTATATATGTTAGTATGTCTGTTTCTATTGATGTTCTTTGCTTTATTTCGTCATTACTCTCTATCCATTCTTGTTACTCTAGCAGCATCTTCGCAGGCATTCCATCTCTGTTGCTACTATCTATGAAATTAAAATGGTAAATGTTTTTAGGGTCCATTTATTTTTTCGGGCATGCGTATTTACGAGGTCCACGAGGTTTTGAAATATCTTTACTCTGTTTTCGCGAGGTTAATATCTCGGCCAGTCTTGGTATATTTTTCTTGTAGTTTCTTCATTATGTAGCTGAGGTCGTCTTGGTCTTGTGCAATCACTACTTGCTCATCTGCAAAGCTTAACGTATATAGGTATTCGTTCCGTACCGGTATTCCCATGCCTTCGCATTTTCTTTCCATGTAGTCAAAGCTTTCTCTAAGTATATTTTGAATAGGTTGGAGATGTGGAACAACCCTGCAGGAGCCCTTTTGTTGTGGTGAAGTCTCCTATGAATCCTATGATTCTTGTTCCCACTTTAATGAATATTTTTTTATACAGAGCTTTTGTAGCTTCTCTGAGTTCCGTCTGTATTCTCCGTCTCTTTCATCATCGAACAGTTCGTCGATATATTAATCTTCCAAGTAAATTAAGTACTTCCACATATTTTAAAGACATATTATAGGAGGTTGGGCTAATAAATAATATGACTGAGGCAATAAACCATTTTATTTTGATCCCGTATGTAATGACTTATTATCACTTCAATTGACGCATTTCCTATATACTTACAATGTTCCACACGCATTTTCCCATTGTTCGAAACAGTGCAGAAGTTTTCTTCTGACAGGACGGACGACTTTTTCTTCTTCACAGCTTCACAGAACTCAAATCTTGTTCGTTTTAATGCAAACTTCACCTTAAGAAGGAGACAAAATGTTGCACGGCATAAGATCTATTCAATAAGGCGAATGGTACAACACTAGTATGCTGTGTTTGGCTAGAAACCACTTGATTTGCACTCACTTTTACGCACTATTATTTGTCAATAGTAATCAACCGAATACTTAGTCGGATGGAACCAGATTACTAATGTTTTCAATATGTCATCCGTTTTTGGAGCGGACGTGAATCACCTTCCAAAGTGTTGTCTACTCAAAAACACGTGCACGCCATAAATACTCATTGCCATAAACTTTTTCTGTTCAGTTTCATGTGAATTTTATTTACAATTTGTTGCTCTACTGTCTCAATTAATATGTTTGCGTACTTCTTTCGTAGCAGCGTCAGTCACGTTATTTATTTGTCTATTAACTTTGAAAATTAATCAATTTCAGACTATTTATGATGGTGACAAGATCACGTTTACCTGCCAGCACGGACCCAGCGAATGTTACGGTAATCAAATCCTAGGCTGTGCCCAAATCCTGATAGATTCCGGAGCTAATTCGCCAAATCTTGGTTACAATACGAAGTTTTTAGAATTTGTGTACTGTCTGGCAGACAAGATCAAATCTAAAGCTACCAAGTCTGAAGTTGATGAAGTGGTTGACAAGTGTGCTAGTTCAGAATCGATTGGAGTGACAGCTGATCAACTAAAACAATGTTCTACCAGCAAGATCGGTAAGTAAATAATATATGTGTATCTTTGTAGTTTATTATATCTATTTTTGAGAGTAGACCGCTTTATGTCTTCTGGCAAGACCATCCACTTGTGACTGACTTGACTCTTTAATTCAGCACTTCATCTTGACTTCAGTATTCTTCTAGTTCTTTTTTAACTGATAGATCTGCAACAAAATATGTCTTCGCGCCACTTATCAATTGTCTACGGAATGTTGTGTCTTAGTAATTTTAATGGTTTGGTTGCAGCTCAAGGCAATTGTTCAGAGCAGCTGCCTCGAAGGTTAGAATAGTCATGATGATTGCCAACCTTCTTAGAGGAGATGGCACTTAAAGAAGAAGAATATAGAATAATATATATATATATATATATATATATATATATATATATATATATATATATATATATGTATTTGATATAGTTTTTTCTGATAATAGAATAGTAACAACATCAATACAAAATACATTTAATAAAATTTGATTTTCATTTTTAGGAATTCAGCAAATGGTATACAATGGAAAACTAACGGATAAGTTTCAAAATCCTCTAAAACACATGCCAACGATAGTTGTTAACGGAAATTATGTACCAGAGGAGAGCAGCCAAGCTCAAGAAAATTTATTGAAACTTTTGTGTTCGAAAATATCCGGAGAAAAACCAGACGGGTGCAAATAATGATCGAACCTACTAATACTTTAATATTATAATAAGTTTATAATAGACAGTAAAATTTTTCTTTGAATTTTTGGAAAATAAAGTATTATATGAATCAAATTAACCATGTTTTCACGACTTCTATAATTTACACACAAACATTTAAATCATCATCATAACCTTACATAACCTAATTTAAGATCAACTTTTCATGTTGATCAAGTCTGATCAAATGGAAATATGTTTTTGAGTTTTTTATTGAGACCTTCTTGAGTAGAAAATAAACTTTCGAATAGAAAGACAGAATATGTTATGACATTTGATGAAGAAGCAACCATATTACAAGTAAAACAACTTTTTATTAGGCTGTATTCTTTGTAATTTTCATCTTCATCCATAGAAGAATTCTTTATGGAGAGGTAAGAGCCAGTAAGAATTTTTTTATCGTAATAGATATTTTTGGTTTTGCATTGAAAAAACAACTTCACTGTTAGTTTACACTATTTAAGCACACATAAGTGGAGGAAGGCTGCCAATGAGACAAATTCCGTCTATTAAAAAAAGCAAACTGTTAACTGAGCTCATCTTTCACTGATTCAGCACACATAACACACCGATGAGAAATATGGTCTCCGTTTTTTACTTTTCATCGATAAGAATAGTAATGTAATAGGCAAATCTTTAAAAATCTTTCATGTGAACACCTCAACATCTATAAAAATAAACCCAGAATCGATTCACGCGCATTAACTCAAGTACTCGATGTACCCAGAGGTAAAACTTGAATGGATTCCATTGAAGTTTCCAAATATGGGCACTCATTCCAATCCGCGATAATATCCCGCTTGCTTAATAAGGTATAAAAACAGAATGGATTAAAATAGTACGAATGTGTTAATCTGTGTGATATCTGCGACGCACAAGTGATATTTTACATAAAAAGCTGGCCAAAACCAAAATTTTAAAAACTAACATTTCGAACTGATTCTTGTCCCTAAAGCAGGTAGTTATATGTGACGTCATCTGGCAATATCCCCTCCCCAAATAACCTAACCAAACAAATCTGACAGCTGTCACATGCTAATACGTTTTGGCTGCGTTTACATTTGAGATTTTACCACACTTTTTTGTACGATTTCTGGTTTCTTTATTTTTATAATTTAAATGATTTTGGTAATAACGGCAGTTATGAATATGCCAGAGGAAAGTAAGTATTCAATATTGAACCGTTTTTTAACCCTAAACTGTATAATTTTTTTATTTTTGTGAAAAAAAGATGTTTGCTATTTCTTTAGAAGGTACAGAATATGGAAAAAATAATTAAAAAAATTTTTGGTTAACATATACTTAGCAATAACAAAAAACGAATGAAATGTTACAAAACAGTTATTAGTTTTGTTTAAACACAAAAGTATACCGGACTTAGAGCATTTCTTCTTCTTCTTCTTGATGTGCCTATCCGTTACGAATGTTGGCGATCATCATGGCAATCTTTATCTTAATTTTTTTAATTATTATTGCTAAAAATAACCTTTCAAAATAAATAAATGTTGCAATAAATTATAATGTATTGCAATAACACTTTAAAATTAAATTTAAAAATGCGTGTAATACAATATAACCATTGTTCACACTCCAGCATAATCATCCGTGCCTAAAACGGTCGTACTGGTGTAGAAACGATAAACGTGGAGAGACGGCAGCACTGAAAGGGTTAAGTGAAATATTATCTATCGCATCTGCATAAAAATCGTCTACTTTAAATAGTTTTTTAACATTTGTGTATCGAAGTATTCTAAAATGAAGCTGATAGTTTGCTCCACGATAGTCATTTTAATGACAATTTTGAATGTATCGATTATTGCGCAAGAACAAAAGGTAAGTCACTTCAAATGTTGTTAATAATTTATTTAATAATAATTACGCTACTTATAAGATTTGTATCATCTTTTAAAGTTGTTGAAACTTCGCCGAAAATTGGTGGCGTTTTTGATATTGATGACTTGTCCTGTATAGTTGGTTCTCTTGGTATTTTTTCACTCATTTATTCAAATATAATGTCAGCTAGTAATTTCTGCCAGTTGAAGATGTTTCGATATGGCTTTTGTCTTCTTTTATTAGTTTAATAAATAAATATTCATTCAAAAAAACATGGTCATTTACCTAGTTTTTTTGCTTTCGTACTTTATTCTTTTTTTGGTCTTGTTTCGGAAGGTTTTCATCCTGTTACTAGTTTTTTTTGTCTCTAATCACCATGGATGGTCATTACGTACAACAAGCACTGACAAGAACACGATAACCAACTTCTTTTCGCCTGAATTGGAACATATTCCAAAATTATAATCTTTACTACTTTATTTAATGGGAATAAACAACGATTAATTAATATTAATAATTTAGCCGTGATTATTTACTTTTTAGGTCAACGTCACCCTTTACTACGAAACGTTATGTCCTTATGGAAATAAATTTGTGGTAAACCAATTGCATCCAACGTTAGAAGAACATTTATCAAAATATGTCAATTTGGAAATAATTCCATACGGAAAAGCTAAGGTAAGTACTAGACTCATGAGTTACTAGGAGATTTTTCTGTACCAATTTAGTTTCTCATTTAACTTTTGTTTTACAAATAAATATTCTACTTGATTTACATTATCTTCTATTTCTTTCTATCTCCCTGCTTCGTTCCATGCTAAGTTACTTTATTCTAGTTTCTTTTCTATCTTTTTTTTATCAATGTGATATTAGGCTTCCTAATCTTCTTTTTTTCTGGGGTCTTATATCGAAAAACCTGTCTAGCAATAGTTTATATTGCCTTATTTATTGTGTGCCTTAATGTATAATGCAGAATTGAAAAGAAAAGTACTTTAAAAGTATGTTTAAAGCAACCGGGGCCTTTCGGTTTACAAAGGTATCTTCAGAGCTATGGTCAAATTAAAAAAAAAAACCACCTATAAAAAAGGGACGTCATTGTTCAAATAGGGGAACAAATTTTTTCATCAAAATTTAAGAGCGCAGGCGCAAAATTTCGGGCCAATGCTTTTTAAATGCATTCATTTTTTTCGAATCCTGAGAAAACTAATAAATATTTTTGAAAAATTTAAACGCAGAATGAAAGATTACATTATTACCGAGGGCCGAAAGTCCCTTGTAATAAACAAAAAGTTTTTTTGAATGAGACATTTGAAAATTCTCCTTACATGTCCATACCACTTTAGCCTTTTTTGTTCTATATATGTTAGTATGTCTGTTTCTATTGATGTTCTTTGCTTTATTTCGTCATTACTTCTCCTATCCATTCTTGTTACTCTACAGCATCTTCGCAGGCATTCCATCTCTGTTGCTACTATCTATGAAATTAAAATGGTAAATGTTTTTAGGGTCCATTTATTTTTTCGGGCATGCGTATTTACGAGGTCCACGAGGTTTTGAAATATCTTTACTCTGTTTTCGCGAGGTTAATAGCTAGGCCAGCCTTGGTATATTCTTCTTGTAGTTTCTTCATCATGTAGCTGAAGTCGTCTTGGTCTTGTGCAATCACTACTTGCTCATCTGCAAAGCTTAAAGTATATAGGTATTCGTTCCGTACGGGTACTCCCATGCCTTCGCATTTTCTTTTCCATGTAGTCAAGGCTTTCTCTAAGTATATTTTGAATAGTGTTGGTAGATGTGGAACAACCCTGCAGGAGCCCTTTTATTGTGATGAAGTCTCCTATGATTCTTGTTCCCACTTTGATGGACACTTTTATTTCTTTATACAGAGCTTTTGTAGCTTCTATGAGTTCCGTCTGTATTCTCCGTCTCTTTCATCATCGAACAGTTCGTCAATATATCAATCTTCCAAGTAAATTAAGTAATTCCACATATTTTAAAGACATATTATAGGAGGTTGGGTTAATAAATAATATGACTGACGCAATAAAACATTTTATTTTGAACCCATATGTAATGACTTATTATCACCTTCAATTCACGCATTTCCTATATACTTACAATGCTCCACACGCATTTTCCATTGTTCGAAACAGTGCAGAAGTTTTCTTCTGGCAGGACGGACAACTTTTTCTTCTTCACAGCTTCACAGAACTCAAATATTGTTTCGTTTTAATGCAAATTTCACCTTAAGAAGGAGACGAAATGTTGCACGGCATAAGATCTATTTAATAAGGCGAATGGTACAACACTAGTATGCTGTGTTTGGCTAGAAACCACTTGATTTGCACTCACTTTTACGCACTATTATTTGTCAATACTTATCAACCGAATACTTAGTCGGATGGAACCAGATTACTAATGTTTTCAATATGTCATCCGTTTTTGGAGCGGACGTGAATCACCTTCCAAAGTGTTTTCTACTTAAAAACACGTGCACGCCATAAATACTAATTGCCATAATTTTCTTCTGTTCAGTTTCATGTGAATTTTATTTACAATTTGTTGCTCTACTGTCTCAATTAATATGTTTGCGTACTTCTTTCATAGCAGCGTCAGTCACGTTATTTACGTTGTCTATTAACTTTGAAAATGAATCAATTTCAGACTATTTATGACGATGATAAGATCACGTTTACCTGCCAGCACGGACCCAGTGAATGTTACGGTAATCAAATCCTAGGCTGTGCCCAAATCCTGATAGATTCCGGAGCTAATTCGCCAAATCTTGGTTACAATACGAAGTTTTTAGAATTTGTGTACTGTCTGGCAGACAAGATCAAATCTAAAGCTACCAAGTCTGAAGTTGATGAAGTGGTTGACAAGTGTGCTAGTTCGGAATCGATTGGAGTGACAGCTGATCAACTAAAACAATGTTCTACCAGCAAGATTGGTAAGTAAATAATATATGTGTATCTTTGTAGTTTATTATGTCTATTTTCGAGAGTAGACCGCTTTATGTCTTCTGGCAAGACCATCCACCTGTGACTGACTTGACTCTTTAAATCAGCACTTCATCTTGACTTCGGTATTCTTCTAGTTCTTTTTTACTGATAGATCTGCAACAAAATATGTCTTCGCTCCAC